GGGGTTTGGGGTTTAGGGTTTCATGGCTATTATAGATAGGTCTTGAATATTAATCTGAGGATACGGGGCATCTTCTACCATGACTACATCGTCGATAAGGGGATACGTTGCCTAATCATTTGGCTGCTACCTAAGGTTGAGAGCTTAGATACTTGAAACTAGCCAGACCCTAAATCCTATACCGCTTATGCCTAAACCCCTTAACCCTAAACCCTGACCCTAAACCCTAATCATTCAGCTGCTGCCTAAGGTTGAGCTTAAAACCAGTGGATCAGGCTTTCATGTTAAGGCTTCGGGTCTGGGCTCCTCCAGGTTTAGGGTTTAAGGCTTAGGGTTTAGGGTTTGGGGTTTAAGGTTTAGGGTTTTGGGTTTAAAATTTAAGGTTTAGGGTTTAGGGGTTAAGGTTTAGGGTTTAAGGTTTAGGGTTTGGAGTTTAGGGTTACTGCCAGTATTGTCGTCTTTTTCTCACGCGGATTCTAAGGATACCACTTGCCTGAACCCAAACTCCAGCATGCCTTCTCCACAACACCATACCGTAAACTACCAAAACCTACTTTTGTAGGTTCTTAATTACTATCAACCCGCATATAGGTTTTACGCGGACCCTACTTCCAAAAAATATAGGTTAAGGTCGTCTGGGGTTCCAGATTCATAGAAATTTCGACCTCAGCGCAAGCCAACGCAACTCATCCCATTCGCCATCCAACCTGAACCCTAAGCCCGAAACCCTAAACGTTGAGGGTTTAGGGTTTAGGGTCCTAAACCGTCAAAGTCACCTGACAAAAACCCCAGCAAGTCAGGTCTCGAAGGCTTGGTTTACGGTGCAGGGATCTAACGCGAAGACCGTTTTTTTTCCAGGGACTGTAGCTTGACCAGCCTTCTTCGGGCTCTCCGCTACACCCCAGAACCCCCTTACACTGCCTTACACACGAAATCTGATCTCCAACCCTGAAACCTAAACCCTAAACCCTAAACCCTAAACCCTGAGTCCTGAAGCCCTAGAGCCCTAAACCCTGGAACCCCAAAACACCAAACCGCGAACCCGAAGAACCCTGAACCCAACACCCAAAAACCCTGAACTTGAAATGCCTGAACTCCAAACTTCGCGATTTTGCATGCTGAGGCACTCGAGAATGTCTGTCGTAGCTGCCTGGTTTATAGCTGACGGTTTAGGGTTTAAGGATTTACGGTTTAGCGCTGAACCCTAAACCCTAAACCCTAAACCCTAAACCCTAAACCCTAAACCCTAAACCCTAAACCCTGAAGGCTTGAGGTTTAGGATGTAATGTTTAAGGCTTTACGGCTTAAGGGTCAAGGCCGCACGGTCTGGAGTTTAAGGTTTCAGGGGCCCAAGGTTCCGAGTTGAATTGCATGCAGTCTTTAGGACTTTTTCACTTGACCTAACAATTCCTGACTTCACCACCCGCAACACTGCCCGCACGCAAACAATCGCCATCCTAAGCCCAAGACGAGGCAGCTCCTAGACGAGTAATTCAGAGCTATGCAGCCTCTCTTCGTCACCCGCAAACGCACGAACGGTCATCATCCCCCGACCCAGAACCCCAAATCCTGAATCCTAACAAAAGCCAGAATCCCGAATCCTAACCCCGAAGCCAGGCCGAATACTAAGCCCCAAACCCTGAACCCTTATAAGGCCTCAAACCCTACGCCGCCTAATTACACCCTAAACCCTAAACCCTAAACCCTAAACCCTAAACCCTAAACACTCCACCCTACTCCGAACACAAGAAACCCCTAAATCCACTGGCGCCTGGCACTGCTTGGCCCGGGCCACCAAGGAAGATCTCAGATGAGGGGCGCAGGGGGCGGAGTCACGTGATTTTGGCTGTTCGCGCTCGTTGAAGAGGGCGAGGGTTGAGGGTTTAGCGTTTAGGGCGTAAACCCCAAACCTAAACCCTAAACCCTAAACCCCAAACCCTTAAAGGCGTAATGTTTGGATTGGAGGGAGGCCTCTTCGGCTCCGGGGGTTGATTTTTAACTGGCTTGGGGTTTAAGGCTTTAGGCTGCTGGGATGCTTATAAAGGAGACCATCAAAACGGCACCCCAAGAGCCTAAATATAGGAGCCTTAAGAATTAGAATAGGGTTCTGGGGCCCATTATACTGCAATTCTAACAAGGAGCCCCCAAAATAGTGTTGGTAACCCTAAACCCTAAACCCTAAACCCTAAAATTATTTATGCCCCTACATTAAGGACGCGGAAGAGGGGGGGGGAGAGGGGGCTTCGACCAGAGATTCACGGTAGAGGCGGGGGTTTCTCTTCGCTGCTGGTTCGAGTTTCTGGGTTTTCGAGCTTGGAGACTTGGCGGTTTAAGGGTTTAGGGTTTAGGGTTTAGGGTTTAGGGTTGAGGATTTCGGATTTAGTTTCTGGGTTTAGGGGTTAGGACTTGGAGGTTTAAGGGTTTGGGGTTTAGGGTTGAGGAGTTCGGGTTTAGGATTTAGAGGTGTATGTGTGGGACTTGGGTTTCAGTTTAGGTTTTAGGGTTTAGGGTTTAGGGTTTAGGGCTTAGGGTTTAGGGCTTAGGGCTTAGGGCTTAGGGCTTAGGCTTGGATGAAGATTGACTTGCTTCCGGAGAGTAGCGCCAGGTCTTCAGATTCAGAGACTTCCCGGTGGCTTAAGAATGAAAGCCCCTTTATTTGCAGGTCTGAGAATGAAGGCTCCATCGTCAATCGTGGGTTTAGGGTTTAGGGTTTAGGGTTTAGGGGTAGGGCGGTTTCTGAAACTGGAAATGGAGTTGAGGAATCTACGCTCAAAGCTAGACACTGGCCGTGTGAGAAGCTCCCTCTAAGAACCCCGACAACCCTAAACCCTAAACCCCAAACCCTAAACCCTAAGCCCCAAAATCAACCGGAAGAGCTCCAAACTCCTCCACCAAAGGACCCCAAGAGCACAAACACACGTCCGCGGCACCCAAAGCCTGAACTTTGAAGCAAGGCACATACCTTCCTCTCTGGGCAGCCGCAGCTGGGCTTGGAATGACACATTCCTCGGTTGGGGGCTTTAGCCAACGAGCGTCGGGTCGAAGGTTGTTATATACTCTGCCTAGAACAGGGGCCCATAGCAATACTGTTGATGATATGATTTTGCATTACCCTAAGGACCCTAAACTATGGGAAGTATGGTATATTACTTATTATGGGTAATGCAGGATTTATATCATCAACCGTAGGGCGTACGGTTTAGGGGTTGCCGGGATGAAGCCTTTCCGTGGGCAAGGATGAAGGGTTTAGGGTTTAGGGTTCAGGGTAATGCAGGATTTATATCATCGACCGCTCGGGGCTTAGGGTTTTGGGGTTTAGGGGTTTCGGGGTTTAGGGTTTAGGTTTTAAGGTTTAGGGGCTTAGGGTTTAGGGTTTAGGGTTTAGGGTTTAAGGTTTTCAGGATTTGTGGTGAGGAGGGGGAGTGGTGAAGCCTAAACCCTGCAAAGCCCTGAACTATAAACCCCGAACCGTGCAAACCCAAACCTAAACCGTCAACCCTAAACCCTAAACCCTAAACCCCTAACCTAAACCCTAAGCCCTACACCGAGATCCAAGGCATCCAGTTCACAAAAGCTTCGGAGTCCTGGGATCCTCAGAAGCATCTTCAAAACTAGGTCTCCCAGGCTCTTGTTAAGGGGTTTAGGGTTTAGGGTTTAGGGGTTTAGGTTCAGGGGTTTAGGGTTTAGCGTTTAGGATTTAAGGTAGTTCAAGTTGAGTTACCATATGCTAGAAGGGTTTACGGTTTAGGGTTTCGGGTTTAGTTTAGGGTTAAGGGTTCAGGGCTTAGGGTTTCAGAACACCACGC